GTGGTGAACCAGGTCTTCTCCACTGTTTTGATTGTTGTTTTGTTTCCGGTGTACAGTAATGAACCCATGTTTCGTCCATAGTAACAAAACGGTTCAAAAAATCATCTGCATCGGCTTCAAATAACTCCAAACAGTCGCGTGAAATAGTCAATCGCGTCCTTTTTTGTTCAACTGAAAGCAGTCGCGGAACCCACCTCGCAGACACCTTGTGGAAACCCAACTCGTTGACAATGATGTTTTGAGTTCGTTCATAAGAGATGCCTATAATCTCGGCTATCTCTCTAATTTTTAATCTGCGGTCTCCCATTATTAAATCAAGTACTTTTTTAATATTTTCGTCAGTAGTTGACGTCGAAGGCCTTCCAGAGCGGGGTTCATCTTTCACACTCTCTCTACCACGCTTAAATTCTGCTATCCATTTTTTGACGGATGAATATGATAGAGCACAATCGCTTAATGTACTGACCATATCATAATGGATGGCTTTTGATGATAGCCCCTTCTTATGGAGGTACTTAATGACGGCACGCTGCTCGATTTGCTCCATTCGCGGAAATTATGTCCGATTACTTTGTTAATAAATTTATAAAATCACAACTAATTATCGCACACGTTTCGAACTTCACACAATGAACCAGTCTGAACTGAACTAAATAATGTGGGTAGATTTGATTTTTAGAATTGAATGGATCTGTGTTAGGCCGAGTACTTTTCAATCCACCTAGTATGATGTACTCCCTTGGTACTTACGTACGTATTACAGAACATTATTACTCTTTACAGAAAGGCTCGTACATACTCGTAATATCACAATCTCCTGCATAAATGCATACATGTATTCCGTAGTTTTCCGTTGAAACAGGTCCTCATGACCGAAATTCGGCCTATATGACTTTATTGAGGTATATGTTGGAAACTATTAGAAGATAAAAAATTAAAAATATTCAGTGCTTAAAGCACTTAAAAGTTAAATACTCAATACTTAAAATATAAATATAACGCATTTAAAAATGTAGCAAATTATTTATATAATTAAATACATATTTAAAACATTTTTATTAAGCGCTAACGCCATCTAGTTGTGAATTGCAATTATACTAACCCTAGTATTGTAGCAGTGCAAGAATAATCACTACCCCATATCATCCCATGGGTGTCTTAAGAGTCGTCAGAAGGAAATAAATCAGGAGATGGAAAGCAGCGTCTTCAAAATAACAACAAAAAATAAATGAATAAAAACTAGTGTGCTACATATATAATAATGTCCTCCAGACGGAATTTCGGTCACGGCGGCCTGCCTCCACGGAGGCTAGCCATCGGCGAAGGACTGGATTATAGTGCCCAAGTGTACGCGCAAGCACAGGTGCACTCTCTATTCCCTCCGATGGGGAATCCGATGGGACGATAAATCAAAACGACCGGAGAGAGATCAGGCGCAGGACCAACGGCTTTACGGGCTTTCCGAGGCACGGGGGTTGAGACACCGCCAACTTCCAGACTCCGGGAAACTACTGAGAATTTCTTGACGGAAAAACTCAATAATTAATTTTTTGGCCCGACTCGGGATTCGAATCCAGGACCTCATTATCAGCAGTCGCACTACTACAACCACTAAACCAACGAGGCAGTCATAGTTTATTTTTTGAGGATTTAAGGATTTTTAATAGGACATTACAAAGGGTCGTCGAAAAGGGCAGAAAAACGTCTTCCTGGCAAGCTAGTATATGTATATATATCTGTATATATATATGGGTGTGTGTGTATGTATATATAGCTGGATGACCGAGCTTTCCTCGGTATTTTTTTTTGAAATCGTGTGTTTTGGAAATTATATTTAGATACAAATTACATACTGATGAAACATGAATAATATTTTTTGATCTTATTGACATTATAGAAAAAAACTTAACTGGTTATTTGAATAAAAAATCATGAGTGCAATTAGTTTAATTTAAATTTTCCTATTTTTAAAAAAATACTAAGAAAAGTGCTGGAAATAATAGATTTTCTCGCAAAAGAAGGGAACTTGAAAAAAAGGCAAAAAAAGTCAGACGAGAGACAGGACGCGAACCAGGGCTCTCTTATTTCGCGACCGCCCGATCCCACTTGAGCTATTACGATCGTATAACGCTGTCAAAATTTACCTTCTTATATTGTAGCAGTTTTTCATTGCTTGAAAACACGGACAAAAGGACATTTTCTAAAAATGAATCCCGGCTAGATCGATTTATTGCCCCCGAAACCTCCTGGACACAAAATTTTATGAAAATCGTCGGAACCGTTTCCGACATTCCGATTTTATATATATATATATATATATAATATATGTCATATTGTACATGAGTCATCCTTCCATAATTTGTTATTATTCACCCGAAAATTCACAAAATATGAACTTACATGAATTTACAATTTTATTCACTTTAAACGTAGAATATTTATTGTATTTCAAAATTCAAAATGTTAATATGATTGCCTCGTTGGTCTATTGGTTGTAGTAGTGCGACAGCTGATCATGAGGTCCTGAATTCGAATGCCGGATCGGGCCAAAAACTCAGTTATTGAGTTTTTCTGTCCAGAAATTCTCAGTAGCTGCCCGGAGTCAGGAAGTTGGTGGAAGTCGTGTCTCAACCCCCGTGCCTCGGAAAGTACGTTAAGCCGTTGATCCTGCGCCTGATCTCTCTCCGGTCGTGTCGGTTTACCGTCCTATCGGATTATGAGAGTGAGGGAATAGAGAGTGCACCTGTGCTTGCGCATACACTTGGGCATTATAATCCTGTCCTGCGCCGATGGCTAGCCTCCATTGAGACAGGCCGCCGTGACCGAAATTCGGTCTGGAGGACATTATTGTTATATAATTGTATTGAAATAAAATTACAAAAAATATCTGGCTATGAGAGAAAGAAAATGTGCGAGCGCACTGCTCTCTCTTGCTTGTATCCCCCACTCAACTCCCGTTTGCCTCGCCCGATCACACTTTTCGTAACGCTTTAGTCACACGTTCGCCTGCTTACTCCACAAGTCACGCGTGCGTTAAGAAGTTTTACTTCAAGATTGCGGTTGCCAAACCGCAAAAAAACCCGCTTGCCAAAAAACTATGCCTATGAGGCAATCTATGGGGGAGGCCTATATCCAGCAGTGGACCTTAAAAAGCAGTAACTGTAACGGTAACCTATACAAAGTGAGAAATAGACAGTTTTAATGTTTTGTTTTACAATTTCCCACCTATAAGGAATAAATACGAGTAAATATAATAAGATGGAATACTTCGTTTCCAGTAAAAAAGATTCTCCGGTTCTCTACGGTCAACATACGAAGCACAGCAGCGTTAAGTTGGTATGTTATGCTGGTATTCTGTAAGACTGTGGTCCTTCCTCGGTTGAGCGAAACCAGTCGTGCTACAACCACTATATAGCTGTAGCGTGGCTCTACCATGTATAATTATTGCTTATTTGACAGCACATTCACATGTAACAGTATAATTAATAATTATTATTTAATGAAAACTTCTATAATATTCGAATGTTGTTGTGTGGATGGAAATCGGACGGAATGACGTCATTGGATAGTTATGAGCCGAGCCTTTTTTTTTTTTTTTTTTTTTTTTTCATGGGGAAATGCCTACGCATACCCGCGTCGTGGGGGCAAGGACGGGTTATGTCGGACTCGCACCGACTAAAACCCCATGGTGTTCCACCTTTGTCGCATATTGGCAGGGCTACGGGAACGCTTTCGCACACATCCGCGGCCCTACTAGCGCCTGCCGCCCCATGGCAGCACCTCCTCGGGAGAGGAAAATTCCTCCCCATTCTCCTTCCCGGGTAAGGCGCACCAGAACACATGGCGCGCCTTCCTCCACGGCCTCCAACTACGTCTGTGCAACAGACGCCCCCGCGTTCGATGCACAAAGGCCATGGGGCCAGGAAAAACGAGCACTTAGAAGTACTAGCCTTCCCGACCCCAGCGGCGGATCTGGTCTATGGCTCCGCCGCCAACCAAGATTCGGCTGCGGAGGGTAGGGAGAGCGGCGCCTCGCAATACTGACAATCCTCTCCCCCCGCAGCCCCACCACCACCGCATCAACGGCGCATCGCCATACCAACACTCCTCTTCCTCCGCGACTCCACCTCGGCTGCAGCGGTAGAGGGTGCGCGAGTCCCCACTCGCTGCAGTCCACCAGCACACATCCAAAGTGGGCTCCCCAAGCCCACTCGGAGCGGCCACCTCAGGCCGGCCCTTCACCTCGGGCCAGCCACGTGGGTTCCTCTTTGTTCACCGTGGGAGACCAAGCCACGGCTACTAAGCCCCCCCGCCACGACAAGGCGGGAACCCGTTCGGGGGGGATGAGCCGAGCCTGTGACATAACAATAAACTTGAGGCTCTCCAAGGCATTCACTCAGCACAATCCGTCACAAAGCTAGTACCTAGCGAAAACCTTATCTCATCTCTGGGGCCGGTACTCATATCGCTGTTCTAGTTTAGGGGACGTTCAAAAACTTTAAACTAACATATTAGCACATATTTTATTCTCTGTGATATATTCATACTTATGTTTTGTACTGCGATATAATATTATTGGTACACGTTGCTAGTAAATAAATCTTATTATCAGTTACGATACACTTGATTTTCTGACATGTTTACATTCTAAGAAATAGAATATCATCAGCTTTCAACATGATAATATTCACGCAATTGTGTTTTATTTATAAATTTGAACCATAATGCTTACTTTATAGATATCAAAGTTGTCTATCTAAAAAGTATTATATTGGTGATCATGTGTTACTTGCTGGCAGCTTAGACGATATACGCTCAGTTTACAATATTTCCTCGTATAGTGTAGTGGCATTTCTCGCTCGTGATCATTCAGAACAATGAAGTCCATTTACCTATTATGTTTTGTTTTATTGATCTGCCTATCTACGTGTTTAGGTAAAGATCTTTTAGTGGGCACAACGTACAACACAAGGCTGGTGTGGCAACAGAAGGCTGAGTACATGGGATTCCCTTTTAAAAAGCGCGTGAAGGAAGTTTTCTATTCTGATCCGGCAATGCAAATAATAAGGGTAAATAAAATTTTCTTACCATCATAATTTATAAAAAATTATATAAAGGATTCATTGGTTCATCCTCATTTTCTACTCATAAACCCGTTAATAGCCCGTGCCAGCCATATCCACATCTCTTTTAGCGGCTTAGATCTCCCTTAATCGCGAACCACCCTCGCTGCTCCCCGTCGCCAGTATGGAAATTTTATATCAGGTTTAAACACGAGATGTTTCTAACATAATCTATCGGAGAACGATTTTTAAATAAACCGTTAAAATGGCTTTTCCAATTGTCTCTTTCGTATACATATTTTAATACAATACTGTATTAATATATTTTAATACAATACTGTATTAAAATATGTAAAGAAAGAAAAAGAGAAAGAAAATGTGCAGAAATTCATATTTATATACACACTCGTAATTATTTCATAATAGAAACACAACACTTGCATTATCAAACTTATAAAGTTAGTAGACAATCGCTAATATGTGATGGTGATAACTAGTATGATATTTCTCAATCAGATAAAGAATTCTCTACATGCTCTTTCTCGTGAATCAAACCTTTTTTTAACTTTCCGCTTGGAAAATAAACAATTTTCAAAAGTATGAAGTTAATAGATTTCGGTCCGATTTTGAGAATGCGAGTTTTCATCAGATCTCCACGTTTTGAGGTCTCAGAAAGCCGTTCCAACACTTTTTTGTACTTGAAAAATTGCGTCGAACGCCGCTAAGTAGGTCAAAATCGAACGACGCGTTCAAAACTTAAGGCCATTTAAATATTTTTAAATAATCGTTTGTTCGATATACTTAACCTTTGAATTTTTGAGTTATTTTTGAGTTTGAGCTCAAAAATCAACCAATTTTCTATTTTCAAGCGTTTCAAGCTCGGAAGTTCCAGGGTTGGCTTACCATTTTGTTTTCAAATTTTTTATGGTAAAATAAAATTTTAGGTCGAAATAGCTTGACGCACCTTATTAGTAATTCGCCAAAAACCAAAAAACCAAAAATAGCTTACACAAAACCACTTAAAGGTTTTGCCTGTCCAGGCTTTTATCCATCTATGTGTCGCAGTAAGATGGTTAAAGCTGTGATATAGCTAAATACCGGAATATAGTTGTATGAGGGTCAGAAAAAAAAATTATAATGATATGAAATATAATATTAAAGGAAATGAAATTTTTTAATTTAAAAAAATTTAAGAGTATAATGTCACTTAATGTGACAAAATTAAATGACTTGGGAGGGCTGGGGGGTCCAAGAAAACGTGACGTTCACAACTTATAAAAAAATTTTGATTAAAACTACTTTTACGGATTTTTTCGCGTTTAATTTTAATTGTTTTTAATTCCCGATGTTTCGGATGCTTTCCAGCACCGATGGTCACGGGGACTGAGATGACCGATGTCATTGTTAAACCCGGAGTACCTTCAGCTTTTTTTAATTATTGCTTATGGTTCGATCTATGTAAAATGACTTTTATAAAACAGTTTTGCAAATTTTTCTCCCTATTTTTTGTTTCATATATGTATATACCTACAAATATTTTTACATATATATTTCCGTCATAAGCATAACAACTTGTTATATTTACTCATGTTTTGTTTTTTTTTTTCGTTTTTCTTTTTTCGGTGTCGGCGCTAGCGTTGCGTTCGTCACAATCAGTCTCCTTGATTCCTTGTATCATGTTCATGTATATTATGTAACATTTACGAAACAGCACTACTCGATTCAAAAACGAATGATCGGATTATTCAAAGTACTCTGTGACGAATGACAATACTGTTTTTGAATCGCAGCTCGCCGAGCTCAAGAGCTATTGTGCATACTGGGGAAGAAGGTGCAGAATGGATAGATGAAGATGAAGTGAATGGTAATTTCGATAATCAAGAAGAAGAAGATATTGCAATGCCAATTATAAATATTTCGGAACATTTGAAAAATCCTTGGATTTCTGTTAAATAACAGAAATATTATTTATCAGAAGTCCAAGGACTTTTATTATTGCAAGATATTTAGAAAAATTTAAATTGTTGTACTGTTATTAATTGCTATATATCAAGTACAGCGAGGGTCTTTCATTTGTAACGTAATATTCATAGGGTGGGGGGGGGGTCGCAAAAAATGTGACATACCGTGACGAAGGAGGGGGCAGGGGATCTAAGTAGATAAAATTTTGCGTGACGTACTTTATGAACGACCCCAATAGATAGAGACCAATACCAGGAGTAATATAGATTATTTATCCGAAAAACTTGTGTGTGTCTCATCATAACCTTTGAACGGCTTGACCGATTTGAACGAGCTTAGTGGCGTTCAAGAGATTTCACAAAATTTAGATTTTCAATAATGTTTCAACTGATTCTCAAAAATAAAGTTTTCAAAATATGTTTTTTTGAAATAACTTTTAAACATATGTATCGATCAATTTTAAAATCTTATCTGTTCTTAAACATGGCAAACGACGTCGATTACTGCGAACCGCTTTAAAATCGGTTAATGCATTAAAGAGAAATCGATGATAAAAAAATTCGAAAATTGTTTTTTCAATTAACTTGAATTTATAATCTAACTGTTTTTTTATAATAGATTTTATTATTGTTCTTAGAATACCTCGAGCCACCAAACAAAACGTTGCATCAAAAGTTATCGTTTTGGCATAAAAATAAAATGAATAGCCATTCGGCGTTGTTAGGATTATGCTATGGGAATTAGACCGCAAGCGTTGTCGCTGTCTACGCGCAGCCATATGATATACAGGTCTGTACCTTCAAGACTGCCGAGGCGACGAAAACAGATAACCTCTCTGACGTATACGCAAACTTCAGCCCGGGGCACAAAGGAGTGTTCCAATTTGTACCCCGGATAGGAGTGATATGAAGTATCAGCTGAAGAGGACACCTGAGTCTCAGTTAAAAAGATCAATGTCGACTTCGCGTACTCCAGATGGTGGTGGACAGCGTTAAGGTCGGAATCAAGTCCCCTGATGTTGCAAAAATTCACGAATAGCGTGGCAGGGATCGCCTTGGTGTTGTTCTGCTTGCCCAGAGCAGTTTTAGCCGCGAACGGAATTCCACGTTCAGGAAGAGTAGGATAACTTGATCGTGGATACTCAGCGAGGGATTCTCCGTCCCCAAGGGTGCTGGTACCCTCCTGGGGTAGTTTTGTAATTGGTTCCTTTGATTTTGATTGATTGATTTATTAGGGGTGGGGGTAGGGGTGGGAATCGGGCCTCCGACTAGCTGTACTTACCAAGCTAAACGCAAATAAAAAAGACCTCACAGAATATCAGCAAGAAGTAAATCTCTACTTCTTGCTGATATTCTGTGAGGTCGTGGTACCACTGCGGTTCAAGCCGGCGCGTGCGACAGCAAAACCTGCCGCGTGGCTCTACCACTGTTAAAGTAACTTTATAATGTTACTGTAAATTAAAAAAAAATCATTTTTTGAAGAAAATGATTTATATAGCTTACTACCTACTTACTACAACAGCTTTACGTTTTCCTTTGTCGGGTTCCTAGGCAACCCTCAATCGCCAAGAGATCGGGATAGTTCAGGGCAGTGGTAGTTTTGCATGTTTGCGAGTTGCGCTGCCGGACTGATGGACTGGGAAGTATGACCATTTTTATCGGACTTGGCGTGTGAATGATTTGATGTAAATTGTGTTTGTTATGTTCAAAATCAAAAAAAAAAATATTTTAATCTTTTTTATCATTACCATCATCCTATTCGAAAGGGAAGAAAGACGACCCTTTCTAAGTTCACGTATTGTGACGGGCAACTACGACTTTCAAAAAAAAATCGCATAAAAATTTAGTAAAAATTATTATTGTAGGTTGATAACTATTAATTACATAACTTTTTCAAATCTCAACTCTCATAGAAAAAGATTGTTCAGAACATAGCGTACTAAACCGGATACGCAGAAAGGTTTTTTTTATTACTAGTTGGCCAGGCAAACGCCGTTCTGCCCTTTTCGATGACCCTTTGTCTTCCTATACATCTTTAAAATAACAATAAAAATATTTAGGGTTACTCATCGGGATATCAGCTATCCTATCTCTCAAGTTGGACCACTGTACACAGTGTGCAAAATTTCATTGAAATCAGTTCACTAGTTTAGCAGTTCATCGCGGACAAACAATGTTTTTATATATGCCTACGATTCATATACATTATCTGATTTCGTTTCGCAGGGTATTGTCGCAAGGGATGTCGAGCAATCAGAGGCTTCAGCCACCATCACAGCTGGAGGAGTTGGTTTTTCGTTCGTCAACCTCCGACTAAAGAGTGGCAGAGGTTCTGGACTTAACTATCAAATTGAAATTTACGTGTGATAACAATTCGTGGTGATACATTTTGTGTTATTTATAGCGAGAGCCAAAACTATGAGGAAACTAATTTTTCATACTATTTTGTATATTATATTGCTTATAAGAAAATTTCTCTAATCTCTTTACTATTATTAACTTTCATCATTTTATATTATAATAAATCATTATTGCTTAATGAACCATTGTTTTCAATCCTTTGAAAAACTTTTTAATAACTTAATTATAATCGTAAGTACCTATTATTCGATTTCATTTTCATAGTGATACGTAAGTAGGCATATTTTTATAACTATATTTTTAAAATGTTATAACTACTTACTAACAGTGAAGTTTTGAAAAATTATTAAATATACTTAAGAGTGAACGGAAAAAGGTTTAAGAAGGAGTGAAGAAGATTGGAGTAATATTATTCACCTAACAATGTTAGCTTACTAACGGAATTACACACAACTATATGAACGCAGAACATAAAATTGGTGTCAAAGTTCCTTAACTTTGAATCTTTAAGTTAAGATAAGCGGTATCTACCCGAGCTTGGGGAAACTTTTGTCGACTAGCAAACAGATTGTATTTAATACAATTTATTACTATAAGAAGTGATTATTTTATTTATAAATACAATCAGAGAAGTTTTGTTTTTCGTATGTTTTGATTCCGTCGAATTTATGTGCTACAGCAAAGGGTCCCTTCAGCAAACTGTCGGTATATCGCAAGTTTTTTTTAACTTTACCACTACTCTATTATTTACTCTTGTATCGTGAAGGCAGTTTAGTAAAGTTACAGCCTATATACGTCCCACTGCTGGGCACAGGCCTCTCCTCATTTCTGAGAGGGTTTAAGGGCAAGGAAGTGTCCGCCGCGCTGCCCCAAGGCGTGTTGGCGAACTTCACATGTCTTCGAAATATTTTTTCTTATTCCTCAGACATGCAGGTTTCCTCACGATGTTTTCCTTCACCGCCGAGCACGTGGTAAATCAGCATTTAAATTGCAATTTTTCATTGGTGCTGGCGGGGATCGAACCCGGGTTCTGTTATATTTACAGCCAGCGTTAACCATCTGAGCTAGCACGGCTCATAAATATAAAACATACATACATAATATAAAACATAGCTATTATATAATAAAAGTTTATATATTAAACTAATAAATATATACATTTTATCAAACTAACTGACCATGAATGGTGATAAGCTAATCTCGGTACATATTACCGAAATAGTAGTTTGAAATTTTAATATTCCTTGAGAAGTATTTGTTGAAGTAAAATACAATATTTTTAGAATTTTATGTATCCCAATTATTATTTCTCATGTTGTACATGTGCCCATTTATTTCATTTAGTTTCATAGCTAGAAATATGAGAAGGTTACATAATCATAGGAAAATTTCCTAACATACAAAGAAAGTCTCAATTATATATAAATATAATAGTCTATGTATCAGAAAATCTAGTCCAAATTAAATGACAGCATTTTTTTAAATACTGACATCTGCTTAGGCGAAGAGTATTTATATTTAAATCACTGTTTTTCTCACGTCTTAATAGCTTTATAATATATAAAACATGATGTATAAAATATTTTATACAAGTATAATTAAAATTTTACCAATGGCTTATTAATGTGTTTAACGTCATATATTTTAATAGGAATAAACTGGTACCAATAGAAGTGGCGATGTAAGAATATCCACTACTCCTTAACGTCCCCTGGGTGCCGTAAGAGGCTACTGAGGGAAACGCACTAGACCTCTTTCTAATAATAAAGGAGGATAGACGTAGGTGGCTATTGGCCACAGCACTTACGTAGAAACCTATAGACTAATGATTAGCGTGGCCTCGAGTGAGATAGGACGATAACGTAGTTTTAGGTTATACAACAATCTTCATGACTTTTAAACATAAAATTTTTTATTGTTCTTCGAACTGAACTGAACAAGATTCACCAATCTTAAGCTCACAAAACACTTTTTCTCACTTAAACCAACTTGTAAACTCCTTAGGTCGTTACGAACTGTCAAAGTTGTTTAGCAAAGTGTACTTTGCTAAACAAATAAAACGGTACGGAGAAAGGGACAAACAATCACACTGCTCCGTCTCATGTCTATGCAAGTCGTATGCATAAATCTATCTTTTTCGTGTGCGAATGCAAAAGAAGTCGTCAATTTGTCTATATGTTTCTCTGTCTACGAGCACATATAATAAAGTGGACATAGAGTATGTCTTACCTTACTGTTATAAAAAAAAAACATTATTATAATATTTTTACATGTATGCCGTGGAGTGGCAGCGTAAGAAAACTCAAAATGTATCCCGAGGGTATTTTGTAAGAGTCGACAGATTGAAAAAAAGAGGTAATGGACAGTAAGCGGGTTCCAACCGCTCGCCAAGCGAGTCAATCTTAATAGTATATTATCTATGGAGTAAATTATGCTAAATATCCACCCTATATACAGGGTTATTTTGCAATAAACGCCCAAATTTGCAAAGAATGTTAAGAATAAGTAATATATGCGAACGGTGTAGAAAAATTAATTTATAAATCCCAAACATTCTGTCCTTTTTGTCTTTTAATTTTTTTTAACAGAATAAGGGCGACAAACGAGCACACAGTACACTTGATGGTAAGTGGATGCTGTGGCCCATAGACATCTACATTTAACCACGATTAAGAATCAAAATGCAGATGCGTTGCCACCCGTGAGGACTAAGGTGGATTGCCTCGTTTCCAGTAAAAAGCGTCTCCAGTTCTCTACACTCCCCATATGAAACACAGCAGCATTAAGCTGCTATTATACGCTGGTATTCTGTGAGAGCGTGGTTCTCCCCGGTCGAGCCGACCCATTCGTGCTAAAACTATAATATAGCTGCAGCGTGACTCTACGTATAAATTCGGAATGCATGGTAACATGATAATACGTAATAAACGCGACATACCCCTTGACAATGTTGATGTGTGTCTAATATTACATTTCTACGTGGTAGCCACACTGCAACTATATTTTGAATGTAGCACGAATGGGTCAGCTCGACCGGGAAAGCACCACGCCCTCACAGACACCATCTGAATGGTGCTTTGTATCGTATGTGCCTGTTGAATACCGGAGACCTTTTTTTACAGGAAACATGAAACAACGCATTTGCATTTTGATACCAAGGCGGATGTAGATGTCTATGTGTTAAAGCACCCACTCACCGGCAGGTGGATTGTATGATCGTTTGTCACCCTTATTCTATTAAAAATATAGACATATGGATCGCTAGTTGGAATTTATAACGCCTACTGTTTTATTATGCACGCACACATTCGTAATAGTCGCTCTGTCTATAAAAACGTTGTGAATTGTATTCGCAAACAGAGGAGCGTTCGTACGCGTAGTTATTGCCCATAAATGGCATTTAATTTATAATAATCTATACATATAATAAAAAAGTAAGTTGCAGATATCTGTACATTTTATATTTTTGTAACAAAATTGATTGAGAGGGACTATAAATAAGTAACTGATTACATTTCTATCATTTTTAGAATTGTCTGTCTGATTATCTGTCTGTTAGCTGTTAGTCTGTCTTAGTTTAGTCTGTCTGTAGTTGTTGTCTAGCTGTTAACGTATGACGTATAAAGTACTAATTTATATCAAAATAATCAGCAAGAAAATTATAAAGTGTACCTTTTTGTTTAATTTAGTCTTTACTTCATTGAAATCGGTTCATTCTATCAAAAGTTATGATTAATATTCTGAAGTATGAGTACGAATTATAAGTACGAATTTGTTTAAAGGCGGCGTTGCGTCATCAAGTGCATGTTAATCTTATATCATAAATCATAATTAAATGATGTAAATTAATTTTCTATAACGATATAATTATCCACTTTTCGCCTCTCCGGGAGACAGAACGTGACGGGTGGCGAACCTCGTCGCCGGTTTTCCTCCCGGAGATTCTTCGCACCCCTACCCCATTAAAGGGGCGCCGGGAACTCGGGGCTATTTCTTTTCTTTGGTTCCTCATGGTGCAAAATATGGGGTAGTATATTTTACGCCGATACCACGGCGTGGAGCCGAGTCTGTGCTATCGGCTTGTCGCTCATTAAGCACCACCCGGAGGACACGTATGGTGGGCCTAGGAATAGGTGGTCAAAGCCTACGGACGCGAGCGACTTATCCCCGTTTTGTCTCCCGTAGAGGCGAAAGGTGCATTGCAGAGGCCCGTCTGGCTACGTTGAATGTATGTGGGGCAATTAATGATAAAATGGATGAAGTATGCGATATGATGTATAATAGAGGAATAGAGGTGTTATGTGTACATGAGACGAAAAGGAAGGGGAAGGATGTCACTATACATGGCATGTATACCGCATACTAGTCTGGTGTAGACGAGATCGAGCAAGCATGCCAGGGAGTAGGTAGCATCCTTTCAGAAAGAATGGGCCAATGTGTGAAAGAGTATGAATGTGTAAGTCCAAGACTGCTATGGATACGAATGAAAGTGGGCTTAAGGAAGTTGTTTGTGTTAGGGGTGTATGCCCTAGATATGTCTAAGCCCACTTATATCCGAGAGCAGTTTTGGGAAATGGTAAGGATGATGTTATGAAGTGTAAGGGAAATGAAAATATTATTATGCTAGGAGATTTTAATGGAAGGGTTGGGATGAGTAGGCTTGGTTATGAAAGGATATTGGGAACGTTTGGCGATGAAAGTATAAATGAGAATGGTGAAAGTCTCCTCACCGTATGTATGGATAAGAATCTTTTTGTGACGAACGCTTGCTTTCGCCACAAGAGGATTCACATGTATACTTGGGAAAGAGGTGACGATAGAAGCATGATAGATTTCATAATTGTGGATGAAAGATTGAGGGGGCAGTGGTAGATACAAGCGTTTACCGGGGTTCTAACGTAGGAACGGATCATTATTTGGTTTTATGCCGAATTAATGGTCTATTCAGGCGTTGGCGCCATCGATCATCTGTGTCTACCACTGCGTTACAGCGTATTAGAACAGAA